ATGCCAAAAATCATTAGGATATTAAGTAAAGATCATGTTCCATGAAGATATTTTGTAAATTTCTTACCGTAAATATATCAAAACTTAATTTTTGATTAGTAATATGCATTGCTAAGGACTTAATTTGGAAAACTTTAAAGGCGATTTTCTATCTATTTTGATTTTTTTGCACCCTCAGATTCCAGATTTTCAAATAGTTGTATCTCGGCCAAATATTATCCTATCCTAACAAACCATACGTCAATGAAACACTTATTTATTCAGCTTTCAGATGATGTATAAATCTCAATTTAAAAAAATTGACCCTTATGACTGGTTTTGTGGTCCAGGGTCACATATATGTAATGAATTAATTCTAATGTTAGGTTAATGCAGACAATGCAGATCCCCTGCTTACCTCTACTTCTATAGTCATCAGAAGTTTAAATCCTAGAACCTTTATTTGCAGTTGCGTCTTGAATGACACCTGGCTCTAACATATCATGCTTATTTATTTTACTTAAAAAAAATTTTTTTCTTTACAGGATGATAATCTGATGGATGTTCTTCAGCTTCTGGTAGCACTGATGTCTGAGCACCCCAGCTCCATGGTTCAAGCCTTCGATCAGCGGAATGGAATACGGTGAGAGCTGTGGTTGCCCCTTGCAACTAGACAATCTTTAACCCACATCTTTATTAAAAACTATAAATGAACCTGGGAAAAAAACTGACAGATGAATTTGAATGAATCTCTATGGAATAATGGGAGGCCACGATGCCTCATTCTTAGCAGAGACATCTGAGTCCTGCTCAACAAAACCTATAAAAACACTTTCATAGGTTCATCTGATACCTATGCTGCTCTCATATGGGCTACTAAAATGCAGGCATTTACATTTCCAAATCCTTTATAGACATGCTAGTTCCACTGACAGCCACGGGGTTAAATGTGCACGCTAGCGGGGGGCATCTGGATAGCTCGTCATGATGAAACAGAGGGCCTCACTTTCATTTTAGATCTGACAAGCTCGTTCAAATCACACTTCCATCAAATCCTACTCCAGAAGGATATAGGCAGATTTATTTTAATATGTAGACAGTATAATAGTCTCGGTTACATATGAATCTACACGTCAGCTCTTGTGAGTCACTGCGTCGCTGGTATTCTCTTTTGTCAGAAAGAAACACTGAAAGTGATTGAAAACAAAGACGTTAAGATGTCCGCATCAAAAGAAATTAACAAAAGTGATTTTATGTCCATAGAAAGCACATTAAATGCAAGTAAAGTGTCTACATTTAAGGTTTCAAATAGGTTTTTGAAGAATAAAATGTCAAAAGTTGGTTGAAATAATGTTCCATTGTCATTCAGTGTAACACTTATAGTTATGTAAAAATTCAAACAAAATGCTTATTCTGACCTGTACATATTAAAATATATATAAGAATAAGTGAGCATATTACATTTTATTGGGTTTTAAATGAGACAAATGGGCAAAACCTAGGATAGTGGCAAATTTAAAACTAATTAGTATTTGGGGTGAAAGTAATTAGTTTTTTAATATGTCATAAATTGATTTTTGTTGTAAATATGTCTGACAAGATTGTTACACTATGACATTTTAGTGGGTGTCTTCTGTAAGTCAGTGGAAAATGTATGATATTTATTTTTTGCTCCGAAAAACAAAAACCAAAACAAAAATACAATTACATGAAACAGAAAACTTTTTAATTCTTTTTTTGTTGTTGTTGGAAAAACAACAACAATTTAAAGCAGTATTGTTTTTATGCTTAAACCCTTTTTCGTCTTTGACCCATTTATTTTTATGGAAATGACATTTTATTAATAATATAAACAATAAGTAAGTTTGATAAATATGTACTTTTTTCATTTGTGTAAATTTTGCTTCAACATTTATTTATTTTGTATAATTTATTCCATTTGTTTCTCATCAAAATTTTATGTTGCACATTTTTTCTCTTCTGTGAATAACAGGGTCATCTTTAAGCTGCTTGCATCCAAAAGTGAAGGGATTCGTGTGCAGGCACTCAAAGTCTTGGGCTACTTTCTCAAATATTTGTCACCAAAGTGAGTTACTTATGTATTATTTGGAATTTAGGCTGTAATAATACTGTTAATCATATAACACGTTAACCTTGTTTTTAATATGTGATTCCTATGCATGATTCACTGTTTATTTTACTAAATGATTCAGTAGTGGATGGTCTAGCTATAAATATTTAGCAGAAATAAGCTCTCAGCATGCCATCAAGTCAGTTGAAGGCTGAATTTTTTTTCTGAAAATGAACAGTTTAGAATAAGCGACTAGGTCTTTTCCCAGAGTGAATTCAGCTGGGTTATTTTGATAACAAATTACCCTCACTCCACTGTTAATTCATGCAGCATGGAAATATTTATGCGCTAATGCAGTCAAAGTCTGTAATCATGTGCGAGTATTTTTCCAAATGCAGTTTCTGTGGTGTTTGATTGATAAAGCTCACTTTCATTTATAATCCCATTTGCTTGTGAATTTCCCCCAGAAGGATTCTGACCGCCAAGAGTTTTTTAAAATAGATGCAGCTTCATTCCGTGACTACGAAGAGATTTTTTCAGAAGCTCTGGGCTGCAGTTATGCCCTGTCGGGGTGAAGTAGATCATAGAGTGTGTTTGGTGCTGATGTTTTGGATGCCATGTGTTTTAGGACAAAGTCAGAGGCCATGCTGGCTCACGGTCTGTTCTCTCTGCTGACTGAACGATTGATGCTCCACTCGAACCAGTTCACAGTCACAACATACAACGTGCTCTTTGAGGTCAGTCTCCTACATTGATACCATGCCTTTAATGTCTGCTTATAGCACTTTGTTTTTGACTATAATATTGTGCAAACGTCAGCAAAATACATTAGGTGAAAGTGCACGCTTTGGACATGCTTGACTTGTGGTGCTTATGCCAGACAAGCAAATCTGGCCTGCTTCGTAAAGAGAGTTTCCCCTCTCTTTTGTGGTCTCTATCCATAAAAAGTGTGAATAAAAAGTAAAAAAAAACTCTATCTCTATCTAAAACTCTATCTACTTTGATTTAGGTGGTTTACTTTCTATCATGGATTATCATTTTGTTTATTTTTTATTTAATACATTTTTTTGTGCATGTTGTTTATATTTTTTATTTGCACAAACTCTATATTGGCGAATGTATTGCACCAAAAAGATTATGCTGAAATCCTGATTAAAAATGTTTTTGCCAGTTGTCGCTGGATTATGATTGTTGTGAAATGTTTCAAAGTTCAGATCATGCTATTTTTGTGTCTTTCATGATTGATCATTGCTAATCTGGATTTTGGTGCTGTGTGTCAGTGACTAACCAGAGCTGATATGTCATTTTCTCCAGATTCTTACGGAGCAGATCTGTACTCAGGTCATTCACAAACAGCACCCAGACCCTGACTCCACCGTGAAGATTCAAAACCCTCGTAAGTTATATGAAACGCAGTCCCTTCGCCTGTAACACCGGTGATTAAATGTGCATATGCACACTTCATTTAACAGCTGTTAATAGATTAAAAAAAACAATTTTTTTAACTAATAATACTAATTTTAACTTAATATTTTTTGTATTGAAATAAATCTAAAATAACTTCCTTTTTGATTACGTAATTCACATTTTTTTTTCTATTAAGTTTTTTTGTAACTTTACCTTATTAATATTAACAATGATGATTAACAGTGAATTCTTATTGCCAAAAGGCTGTAAGTGGAAACTTGACATTTATCTAGACTAAGTTCTTTTTGTGCTGTAGGTTTACCTGCCTTTCTCAGAGAAATCTCAAATTTAAAATGTTATGCCAGCGCATTTTATACCGCCTCTCGTGTGTATGGAAAATGTCTTTACATGAGAGACGGCAAGATCACAAGCAAAGCCTGCCTCCTATTGTAAAATAGTGGTCGACCGATATTGTTTTTTTGACAGCCGATGCCGATGCCAATATCTTGGAAAGCAGGGTAGCCGATATAAAGCCAATATAAATTTTTTTTTTTTACATTTTAATTAATATTTAAGAAATTTGAAATCATTTGACAATGGATTAAAAAATAAATGTGTAAAATAAACATACTTATACTTTAGATGACAAAGTATTTTTCACAAATAAATAAATATTTAATAAAAATATAATTAAAAAGGAAGCAAACACTGTAACCAACAGGGCACTCAGTATTCTGGGAAGTTTGTGTGCATTGGGAATCATATTTTTCAAATAAAGCCAAGGTAACACTCATTTTACGTACAGCACACAGTGAAAATGACATGAAAATGACAGCGGGCAAATGCATAAAGCGCAGCATAATTTGAAATCACGAGTTTAAAGTTTAAAGTTTAAAGCATTCAATTCTCACAGACCGACCGTCACACAGAGAACACGCGATCATGCAGGTCACATGCACACTTCACAAGATCTCACAACTGGATTCGACTAAGTTTGCAAGGTTTGTGAAATTAAATGTTCATTATTCATTCAAAGATTTGTTTAAATGATATAAATGCGTATTTGCTGAATGCTGACGGCAAACGAGAAAGTATTATAATGTTTGCCTTCCTATTACTAATAATATAAAAGCAATCGTTATAATACTTTTTGTATACATTTTAATTCCTTTAACCGTTCTATCTGATTATTAGACAGACTTCTAGCCGTATTAGACAGAACTGTTAACAATGACAGTAAACAAGAGAGAGAATGTGAGCACTGTGTGCTCAGGTGCTGCCGTTCTCAGCGCCGTCAAAATAAAAGTCCCGCCTCGAACACATCGGCCAAACAGAGAAACTTATCAGCCGATGCCGATATTTGAAAAATGCCAAATATCGGCTTTGACTATATATCGGTCGACCACTATTGTAAGATGGCTTAACTCTGCTTATTTTTACTCATGATTTACAATAATAGTGTTAAGCCAGTCTAATTTCATATTGCTGTGGCTGCAGTGGTGCAAATCAAACAGCCACCGGTATTTTCTTGCGTCTAATGGTGAAGAATACAGTTACCTCAGACAAATGAAGCTCATTTGATGATCACGATTACTCAGATGATAAACACATTAAAAAGTAATTAACTTTTTTTTTTTTTTTGCTGCATCGGTTTCTGAATATTAGATGGCTGAATCGTCTCTTATAACAAGATGCCTTTCTTTCCAGCCTCAGTTTATGCTCAATTTTGCATGTGTCTCCTTTAAATCCAGTACAGGATTTGGCAGCAATCAGATACTCTGGTTTTAATGTAAAAAGTGAAACTAATATTGTATACCGATCCATATCGGACCTTTCCCTAATGAAGCTTAATTCTGAGGTACTACAGGCAGCTGATTAGAGCGGTATTTACATGGAGATGTGACCATGTACACAAACCACTTGCCAGTCAGAAGAATGACAGTGAATCACAGATTCTGGGTCGGTTCTAGAGCGTTCTCATATATGATCAGAGAGTGAGCACAGCAGAGTTTCAGCTTTCTTCTGTGTCTCCTTGATTTGATCTGTGTTGAAGCCTCTAAATGGCTCTGATTGCAGTCTTTAGCCACGTCAGACCCAATCAAACAAACTGAGGAAGCAAAAGTTTCTTTTAAATTAAACTCCGGGACAAACCAGGACCAAATGGTGATTGGAGAGCGAAAAAACAGAAAAGTGCAGAGATACATGCAAAGGTAATTTTCTACTGGTAAGGTTCAGTGACTCTAATTTGAGTGAGTAAGGCGTAGAAACAACACAATTCTGCTGGAACGAGTGAGAGCATTGGTTACAGATGCTGTCGTGCTCTAAACTCCCTGTGACGGATGAAACTTGAGCTGCTCTTCTCAACGTAATGCATGCTGACATTGTCTAGATAATTCATCTAAACAACCAATCTTTCCAGTTTAAGCTAACGCTCTGTTCCAGGAAGCCACGACTGTAGCTGCAGAGTTTAGACAATACTGACCTTATGATGTGGAGTACATTTTTACTCCCTCCACATTATATGCAAGATATTTCCTCACTATATGCAAGTGTTGGGGGAAAAAATTAAATGTATCCGTTTTATTAGAAAGGTGCAATTTTCTTTCTCCTTGCTGTTTCATAAATTATTTGTAAATATATACATTTACACTACTATTCAAAGTTTGGGGCTGGTTAGAATTTTTTTGTTTCGTTTTGAAGGTCTCTTATGCTCACCAAGGTTTCATTTATTTGATGAAAAATACAGTAAAAACAAATTAAGATAACTTTATAAATGTTTAAAAAATAATTAATCGCAAAGCTGAATTTTCAGCATCATTACTCCAGTCTTCAGTGTCACATGAACTTATGATGCTGATTTTGGTGGTCAAGAAACATTTGTTTCATTATTATCAATATTGAAATACTTAATATATTTGTGAAAATCATGATGCAATTTTTTCAGGATTCTTTGATGAATAGAAAGTTCTATTTATAGAAACAGAAACATTTGTAGCATAATAAATGTCTTCACTTTTCAAAATGTCTGCATTCTTGCTAAATAAAAGTAATAATAATAATAAAAAATCTTACTGACCCCAAACCTGGTAGTGTACATTTATTAATTTTATTTTAAAATATGCTATAACTGTTGCAACTGTGCATCTGTTGAACAAATAATGTTTGGATATGTTGTTTACTAAAAAAAATCTTTATCCTATACTATAGTGTATAAAAAGATAAGCTTGAGTGACGACTGTCCTTTTAATGCATCATAAGCTTTTTAAATACGAAGCAGTCAGATACTGTGTGAAGCGGTGCTGTTCATTCATGGGCGTTAAATGCAGATATTTTGTTCCATCAGAGATCCTAAAAGTGATAGCTGCTCTCTTAAAGAACGCTCCTCCAGGAACAGAAACCATGGAAGCACGGCGTATCTTCCTCTCAGACATGATCAAACTCTTCAACAACAGCCGGGAGAACCGCAGGTGAGG